TATGTATGGCATTCAGCTTTGTTCGGGTATTTTCCCACGTCATTGTAGTTGTGCTTTTAAAGTTGTAGCAACGTTTCGGCAGAATCTCATCTGCCATCATCAGGCTTCTGTATAGTGTTCATCTCCATATATATATATGGAGAGAGAGAGAGAGAGAGAAGGCACTCATGGGGTTGGTTAGGGTCTTCAAATTTCTTCCTGCCTTTTTAATTTTAATCTATTCTCGTTTCAAATGCCTATTATAATATGTACATAGGGTTGTTGTTGTTTTTTAATGTCTTATACACCACCCAGAGTAGCTCTGTGAGTGAGATGAGCAGTTTCTAATGTGAACCTGTGAGCAACTAATCTGGTACCTACCATGTTTCTCATATAATAAGGCCGGGTCTTTTTTTTTTTTTGAGCCCCAAAAACGTGGCTAGGCCATCTTTTCGGGGGTGACTTAATTCCCCCGCTTGCATCTTCGGGCGGGCGGGTGGCAACGGCTTAGATGTTGACCTTGGCGTTGGTGGGGCACTTCGTATCGGGGTCAACGCAGGCAGCACCATATCCGGGTGTGCAACAAAAGTACTTCCTAACGGCAAGCCCCCCCACCATTCCCCCCATTTCACATGTTTTAATATAGGCCTTAATTTGGGGGGAGGGGCTTAATTTCATTTCATGCCTATAAAACATGCTGGGACTTCCTATTGGGGGAAGCCGTATTGTTGGAGAAACAGGGTATTTTCTGTATTCTTACTCATGTTTATACTTATACCTATTATTTTGTAAGCGATTGACAAATCAAATAAATAAAATGTGTGTGTGCGTGCGCAGTGGATATAAAAAAATCTACAATCTCCCCCCCCCCCCCTTTAAAATGCCAGGTTCTTGAAATGTAAAAGAATTAGTGCAAGAAAAAATACTTCTGGATTTTTCCACCTTTTTCCATATAAGCTGTGCAGTTCAACTGAAAAACAATCTGAAATATTTAAGGGGGGGTGTAAAAAAACTAGAATAATATGACTGCATGAGTGTGTGGAAAAGCCTTCATCAAATCTGACAAAGGCATGTTAGAAAATGTCTTATGGTCTGATGAGACCAAGGCTGAACTTTTTGGCCATGAAAGTATGTTTGGCACAAAAACAGCAGTGCACATCACCAAAGATACACCATACCCACAATGAAGCATGACTTCAGCAGCATTATACTTTGGGGCTGCTTTTCTTTAGCTAGAACTGGAGCTTTAGTCAAGGTGGAGGGAATTAGGAACAGTTCCAAATATCAGTCAATTTTGGGGAAAAACCTTCAGGCCTCTGCTAAAATGCTAAAGATTAAAAGGAATGTCACCTTTCAACAACAATGGCCCAATAACAATGACCCTAAACAAGCATTTTCAGTTTGTTTTTCAATTTAATTGTGTAGCTTATAAGTTATATTAAAGGAGGAAAAAAATCTGAAGTGATTTATCTTTGGTCTGATTTTTTTTTTACATCTTAAAATCCTGGCATTTTAACAGGTTGTGTAGACTTTTTATCCACTGTGTGTGTGTGTGTGTGCGCGCACGTTTCTGTTTTCTAGCCATGTTAAATCCATAAGAAGGAAAGATGGTATAACTGGGTGGGGGGTAATATTAGAACTTGTCCTTTTTAAAGCATCCTGAGAATAAATCCTGTCGTGCTGAGCTTTTTTACTGGACATATTTTTGGTAATGTTAAGTGCACTAATCCTTTCACCTGTAACTCACAGAAGTCCTAACATTCCAGGCATAACTTGAACTGGTGTTCTTTTTCATAAAAAAAAAAATTTCAATGTTATGTCTCAGTCCCAGAATGTGTTCAGTTTTAACAAAGGAACGACATCTGTGTATGAAGATAAAATTGATTACCGGTAGTAGCAAGTCTGTAGCCCAATCTGTAACTACACTTAATTTCCCATAATACAGTTTACGTACAGCTCTAACTAAGAAACCAACTTGTTTGCAGGAATGATCTAAACCAGGGGTGTCATACTCAAGGTGTCATACTCATACCCAGGGCCAGATCCGGCCCACAGATTGCTTAGATCTGGCCCACCCTGGAAATAGCAAAGGGCCAGCCTGCGGTGCCTCTGCCAGCAAAAACAAAGATACAAACCCAGCTTGGAAAGAGTAATGTAAGCATAAATCTGCCACTTATAGAATGTCTTATAGAATTAATGTTTTCTATTTCTCAAGATTCACATGTAATCAGTGCCTTTTGTTGTTTGGTCACTTGTTCTGTAACATATCACGTATACCAAATATAACTATTATTTGTTTCTGTACCCTAAAATGATTTGACTCCCTCTATAATGATTTTTGCTTTGCCCAAATTACTTGGCAATTCATATTTTCAGGTGGACAAAGCTCTTTTGCAAAGATAAAATTCTCTCTCAAATTCAGGGATCAAGTTATCAGCTCCACACCAATTCAGGGTGCCTGAGTTTGGAGACAACAGTGGATAACTTCTCCCTATTAGAATTAAACATCAACATAAAGGAACAAGCAGTCAAATACATTGGAGACGAGCACTTGGTAGAGCAGCCATGAAGGCCTTAGAAAAAACATTCAAGTGCCATAATGTGTACATCACAGTACCTACAGGTATTTAAAAACTGTGATATTTCCTGTGACACTATGGAAATGAGTTAGATTTTGAAGCAGGATAGGAAGAGAGCCAGTTTGGTGTAGTTAAGATGCTGGCCTACAAACCAGGATTCTAAGGTTCATGTCCTGCCTTAGGCATGAAAGCTGGCTAGATGATACTGAGCCAGTCACTCGTTTTCAGTACAACCTACCTCAGAAAGTTGCAGTGGAAAAATAGGAGAAAGGTATGTTTGCCACCTTGAATTACTTGTAAAGTAATAAAAATGGGATAAAAAATTCTAATGTGGAGTATTGGTGCCAAAAAACAAAAACAAATTAATGGACCATAAAATAAATCAAGCCCAAGTTCTCAGTCAAGGCAAAAATGACCAGAATTAAATTGTTGTACCTCAAACACATTATATAAAGACAAGAACGAAGAAAGAGAGATAACCAGGCGTGCATGATAGGTCTTTGTGACAATAACAATGTTGAATCAGATTAGGGACAGATTATGATGAAAAATTATCTGTGATTGCTAAGAGTTGAAAATAAAGTAATTTGGTATCTATTCAAGGAATCCACCAATTGGGGTTAGCACTGACATTTTGAGTTTTGCTTTGTAGCACCGGAATCATTAACTCTTGTCAAATTATGTTCATGTCAGTCTAAATATACAGTCCCCAGTGTGAACTGCCAGCATGCAATTTCTCATCAACAGACATCTTTGCTACAATTCCTCTTGAGCTGAATTGCTAAACCATGTCATTGGCATAAATGTCAGGCAGACCATGACAATCTTATTGGAGGCAGTCAGTTCCATCAGCTCTGTGAACTTTTAAATGCACTGTGAAGCCACCTAGATGAGGCAAAGTAGAGCAGATGTATTGCTCAACTCTTACATAGTCAGCACAGCACAACAGTTTTAACATTAGCCCGAGTGTGTTAAAACATAGGGTTTCTCCTATGCCTTGGGTTAGGATGATTTTGAGGGCCATCTCTGCTGATGGGGGAGAGAGTTGGTTGATATTCCCTCCAAATGCTGCTATCTTCACAGTTTTGTTTTATTTTGTTGTCCAGCTGAGTGGCTAGAGTTCATATAATGGAAATGTGATTACAAATAAACAAGCTAGCTATTAGCCACAAGACAACCACTGAACTGTTCTAATAAATTATATAAATGTACTCTTCATACATTTCATTTGTTCAATACCTAAAATAATGTTATCTTTAAATACAACATTCAAAAAGATAAAAAAAGCAGATTGCTGAACAAAATAGTTATTTAGGAGTTTGGGATAATTGTTCCAATTGTCTCACTAAAGAAGAATGCAGAAAAGAACAGTAACTTCTAATGCCACCGTTATTTCAGTAAATACTTCTAAAGCCATCATATGTTGGCCATTTTGATAAATACTAATTGTTGCAAATATTGGTATGATCTAGCAAAATTTAAGTATCTTTACATCCTATAAACTTTAAAGAAAGGTAGACTTAGTTTTTTTTCTGATAACTGGGATAGAAATGTGATTTGATTTCCTCATAAATTATTAGGCACAGATGTATGTATACTATGTTAGCCTTGAAGCAACATTTATTCCTTGTGTGAAAATGAAGACTTATTACCATACTTACTCATTTGTAAAATAAGAACATCAGGACAAGAGGACTCAGCAAAGCAGCAAGCCATTTACTTTCACCCTTCTTCTAAAGGTGAAAAAGATCTGAAGGTTTATCTTGATTTACTTCCAGGTAAGCCAAAGGACATGAAAACATTTATGAAACATACAGTAATTCTTCTTAAGTGTACACAAAATATTGTCATATTTCTGTCAAACTAATAGGCTGAAAACATGTCAATTTTCCATATCATGTAAATCTTTTTGTTAAGTAGTAGAGTTATTTTAAATCTACACACATTCCTAACTAATGAAATCGTATAGAGTCCATTGTGAGCTCTGTCTTATTTTATTATATTTTATTTGCCAGAAGTTTTCTTCTACATTTACTTTTCACAAATTCACAAAGTGATGTAAAGAACACAATAACATGCATATGACATGCCTCTGTATGATATGGCAATACTTTCTTGTGATTCATGTAATACAAAAAGATGTTCATTTTCAGAATGTAAAAAAAATTAAGGAACCATGAATATCTTGTTCTGTGATCAAAAATTCAGAAGGCCTTCGTCTTCAATAACTTAGAATATAAAATACTTCTTGGAAATTGGGAGCTTACCATTCACTCATTTGTATTTCATAACAAAAAGATTTCATAAGCCACAGTTCTTTCAAAGCCAAAAAAAATGGCAAAATCCAGGATTTACAGTATAACGCATCCAAAAATATGAATTTCTTATACTGTCTATTGTGCTAAAGACAGTGCCCTCCTATAGGAAGGGCAATTTTGAATATTTCAAATAAAAACCAAGTTTTAATTGATATCAAACTACTCACAGCTCACATTCTATATGAGAATTCCAAGTGTGGATTAGCTAGTGGCACAGATTTTGAAAAAAGAGATTCTAATTTATCACTTACAGCATAATATGTTTTATGAAAGTGCACAACTTCCAAATAAAAAATGGAATATTCTGGGAATTTTATCACTGAAAAAACAATTGTTGAAAATTACAATTTTAAAGTGAAAATATGTTCATTAAGTGCATACAAATCTTTATCTAGTTGTACAATCACTGCTAACTGCTGCCATTCAGCACAATTTTTAGGCTCATAGTTCTTGTGATTGTCCATTAAGTTTCTTTTATTATAACACAGCTGCCAATTGTAGTGTTTTTTCATTTTTCATGTTTGATTCTGTCTTGTTTTTTGATGTTTTATTTTCATCTTCAATAGGACTGTCAATGGGTATCTGTCAAGGAAATAAAAGGCAATTCAGAACATAGGAGATTTAGAAAACAGATTTAGTGAGAAGCTAGCATGGAATATTATCAGAGTTTAAAAAAGAGGGTATTCCCTAAATTCCAATGAAACATTCAGAAGAATGAAAATATATACAGTGGTACCTCAGTACTCATTGTTAATTGTTGGGGGAGGGGGGCGAAAAGTACACACACAAAAATGTCCCTTAAGAAATAATGTATTAGTCACAAGGCAACCAACGACAAGTTCTAGCTTGCACATCAAGTAATGAACAAATGATGAGTCTGGGATAAAATTTTCATGTCAAAATGTGTTGAGTACCAAGTTCAATGAGTTTCAAAGCAAACAAATACCAAGGTACCACTATACTATGTTTTGTCCAAATCCTTTTGAAAATGAGGTGAACTAACATTAATTAGTAAAAAGTTCAATTGGTAGGAATGTATATTAAATGCAAATAAGTCATACTGTCATCTATATTAGAACCCTCCAAGTCAAGTTTTACCATACATTTAAATATTAACATATTATACCTAATATTTATACACAAATTCATTTGATACACAAATGAACATTTGCCTTCTATAAATGTATCATATTACTTGCAATTGTTTTGTATATTAAGACTAAACAACCCGATTATTGGCTTTGGGGATCACTATGTACCCCAATATATAGAAAATGAGTTATTAGTGGGTTAGGTCCCCTGTCTATGGAACATAACCCACTGATAATTAGTTACATAATTGCAGTTTAAATATGTATATAGTGAAAGAATAGGTAATGACTTCAAGAAATATTACAGTGCTGTTTGTCATTTTAAAATATGCAACATGATAGCTACTGAATTTCCAGGAGGAAATTGAATATTTGTTAAGTTCCAACTCAGACGGAAGAGAATGCTTTCTATAGTTATATTATCCTGCACTCTTTCAATTTCTCAGTGGTCTCTCTTCCTCATATGCTGCAGACAGATTTGAGATAAAAATTGGATAAACTGAAAGGTCTTCAGAAACAGCAAATAATACATTGGGTTTTGAAACATCAAACAAAAAAAGTTGCAAACTTCATAAAAAATATTTTTTGAAATTTACTCAAAAGAACTGACAATATAATGATAGTGAATTAAACTTGTAATCACAACAATAAATTTAAAGATTAAAATTACTTACAGATGTAATGTCCACAGTTACAATCCCTGAATTTATATTGTGCCTTCGCAAATCAGATTTAATTAAAGCTAAAAAAAAAAAGCGATAATATTAAATATCAATTCAAATACATTCACTGTGATTTTTTTAAGTTTGGCTTTGTTAATTGTCCTACAGACACCAATACATTAATGTCAGAAGTCTTCTGCAGAATATCTAATACTTGCTTTATTGAAATATTTTTCAGATATTTCTGAATTGAGAAATAATTATATGAGTAAATACTAAAACATATTAATCAAAAGTGCAAATCTAGATCAGGGAAAGGATATTTTGGTGATGGGTGGAATGATGATATCAAGATAACATGGGGACTGAACAGCAGCCATTGTAGTGCAAAGAAAGTAGAACTGATGTAGATAAGAAGTATTCAAACTGATTGAACAACTAAATGAAAACATTTTTCTGGAACATATGTTATGTTGAGAACTCATTCTACTCCACAGCTTTCCATTTGTAGATACCAGATACCTCCACTGTTTGATCCTCTTGGAGTTTGGTAAAAGCTCAATTTTTGCTAACTTTAGAGAAGAAAATAATTTAAGGGTAATGATTAGAGTAAGTTGCTTTATTCTTCAATATAATTTAATTTATTCTTTCCAATGAAAGCCCTGTCTATCTATCTATCTAGGTGATATGTAATATCATGACCAAAGCTTGTTGAAAGTATGCAGCAATATCGCTTTTATATTCTGTTATACTATTAAATAAATCTAACGTATTACCTTTGGGATCTACTATATAATTACTATAAGAAGCTAAGATTTACAATTCCCTCAGATTCTACAAATATTTGTGATGGAATATAGTCTGGATTCCCAGAAGGGAGAAGTTGCATTCCAAAGGACCAAGAGACAATGAAGTTTAGATAGTTTGGTTGGGAGAAAGAGGATCAGAATAGCTCCTTCCTAGAAGTTCTCAAGAGTATATTTTAAGGAGATACTAGTTTTATTTGGATGAGATTTCTGTCTGTAGGTGAGGAACAATAAAGGAAACTGCTTAGAAGTAAGTCTGTGTGCCTTTAATGATTTTCAGAGCCTCAGGCATTATCTGAGTTTAGATATTTCTTAAAAATCATGTTTCTTATTGCTCTTCCTTTACTGTTAACATATTTAAAATGTTTACAAATTGTTATTTGCTTTACCGTTATGATGCATTGTGTTTTTATTCTTGTAAGATATGTGTATGTTTTTGGGTAATAAAAGTTTCAAATAAACAAAAATGACTTAAGCCTTTGGACAGATTTCATATTCACAATTTTTCTATAAAGAACAAAAACATGATTTGATATAATGTTAAGTGATTACCTGTTAAAATGATACCTATAAACATCCACACAAAGAGAAAAATATTTCCAGCACGAGGACTGTAAACTGTTGTAAGCTTTCCTTGGATCAACGTAAAGACGATCCCAAATATCTGTAATTGTTTATAAGAACACATGTCAGAATTTAACTCTGCCAGTTCTCCTTGAGTTCCCTGAACTCTGCCAGTTTTATTTCCTACTGTGCCCCATAAGTGGGATTTTGTTTACACGCTACTTTCAGAAAAGAACAGCGTGTTCTCATATTAAAAGTGTACTACTCATGGCCTGCAAATTTATTCAATTGGGGGAGAGGGGGAAACTCATCCCAGAATTACCCTGCCATTCTAATGGAAAATAGCTTATTCAAGAAAAAGTATTATTTTGGATTCCAAACATAAACAGAGATATGAGGAAAAAATAATTACAATGGACTGGGTAACCCCGAATCCATTTTTCCACAGTGCCAATATAAATTCAGCAAATTCAGCAAAGGACAAATGTTTTTTTGTGATATTTTTTTTTGCATAGTAATGCAATTGTTATAATGTATACACTATTTTCTAAATATTTTCAATAGAGATGCTGCAAGCTTTAGGAAAACTGTATAATTACTAACTATGTTCTGCAAAGCTTTCTGAAAGTTGTTTCCTTAATCTTTGCTAATTACCTATTTATGAAAACAGCATTACTGAAGTTATAAAGTTATCTGAACTCAAAACTCCAAAACTCTAGTAAAATATTCCTCATTACCTGTGCTGAAGCATTCAAAAGCCCTGATGAAGTGCCTTCCGATTCTGGGTATGTAATTTCCACAGCAAATTCAAAACCAAGGGGCAGATAACCTGTCATAAAGAAACTGACATAAAAAGCCAAAGTGCAAATTAGCAATAATTCCTACTATTAGTATCAAAATTGTTCTTCAGTATTTATTAGGATAACCTACAATGGATTTTCTAGTTTACTCCAATAATTTGAAAATCCAGTTACAAAAATCCACCTTTGATGGAAACATATTCCACTAGAAAATTAGCACTTTGTTACATGAAACAAAATATAAATTTAATATTCCTGAATTAGCATTGCAGTATATTTTATTGCAAAAAGCCTTACCCAAGTACTCCACCTGTCACAAATACAACTAGAAGGTTTCCACAGTTCAAAGTGAATGTAAATATGACCATCCCAACAAAAGAGAGGATGTATACAACTAGTGTGGTCTGTCTGTAGAAAAAAAAACACAAATCATTTTTACTATTACTTCATTACACAGAGCTCAAATAAAAATGTACATTTTCAGTGGCAATCTGTCGTTGCCTTCTTTTGCCACCTAACAGAGTATAGTAATTGGGACTGGAATTTCTATTGTAAACTTCTATGATATGCTCCTAAAGTGTGACACTGTGTGACTGCAGTGCTTAGCAATAGCAATCCTAACAATCCCTGTGCCATCATTAAGTTGTTAAGCAAGGACCTCATGTGACTGCAGCTTGCAACTGCCCACTGACTTCCAACAAGCAAAGTCAATGGGGAGCCAGCAGGAAGTTCACAACAAGCCTTTCCTTAGATAGCTTGCAAGCAGGCTGGCAGGCCAGTGAGTTGTATGGTGTGTGGACAGGTAGCGGATAGGTGCTGTGGTGCAAGTGGGAGGTAGATACTGTGGCATGGTGTGAGTGCAAGTAAGGAAGGGGATGCTACAGCTTGGCACAAGTTTGATCAGGTACCACTCGCCCTGTCACCTAGCAGGAGCAGGAGGAACTTACTCAAAACAACTTGCGACCTCCTGCCGGTTTTGCTTGTGGGAAGTAGGCAGAAAAGCTCACAAATGATGATGGGATGTTGCAACCATCATAAATGCAAGCCAGCTAACAACAAGCACCCAAATCACAATTACATGGTTGTAGAAACACTGCAATGCCACAACTTCAATGACTAGTCATCACACACCCCTCATTTAAAATAACTTTGAAAAGTCATTGAACTAGATGTAATCTGAGGACTAGCTTTATTATCTATTTTAAAATGTGTGAAAACAGCTTTCTCAGATTTCAAGACTCAAAAGGTGCTTATTACTATAAAACTGTAACAACCTAGAGAAACACAGGCAGTACAGATATGTAATATGGACTGCAGGATACACAGACCATTGCCACCTGAAACAGTCTTACTCTTAACAGCTTGAAATTTCTGTACACATGACCTGTTTTTAAAGAAAGACAAAATGCTTTAGAAATCTAGTTAAAATGTTATGTTTAGCAAAATGTCTATGATCCTGATATTATCAATGTGTCAAGCAATCTTCTCTCATCTTTTCTATTTCTCTTGTGGCATGATCTTTGGCACAAAGTTCCTGGCAATGATAAAATCAGAGATTCCACTTAGAACTAACCAAGAAATTCTGGTCCTTTGCCAAAAACCAAAAAATGAGCTATGAATTATAGCCAGAAGCTTTCCAAAAATGGTTAGTTAAACATAATTCTAATAAAGGAGAATATTTGTAGCACAGGGTTGATGTAAGGGATCCTTGGTGCTCTCTGAGCTTGTTTTCTTGCAGACATTTTATTACCCAAACTAGGCAACATCATCAGTGCTAGTCAATGACAGTGACTAATGCTGATAATGTTACTGAGCTCAGAGTTCACCAAGGACCTCTCATAAACTTAATTCTCTCTTGACACATACACAAACACTTTCAACTAATTAACAAAAGACAGAATTATGCTCCCTATATATTTTGTAATCAGTCTTTTGACCTCTATTAAACTACTCAACCTTCATATTATAACTAAAGCACAACATATGCATTTAAACATTTGCTATTCCCATTTATATACTTACTTGTATGTCTTGGTATAATCCAGCCATAAGCCACAAATAATAGAGCCAACCATTCCAGCTACCACAAGTGTGAGGCCAATCCTACCTGCATTTATCTCTTCTCCCTTTATGTATATAATTATGAAATTACATAATTATGAAATGAATAAGCAAGTTCATTCTAATTCACTTGTTCAAAAAAGTCAATCTATAAAAAAATTAGTAAAATGTATCAATCATTTTGGTAGGCGAATAGCAAGCATAAGTAAATTCAAAATACAGCAATAGTAAAAGAAATATTGCAGCCGAGGAGCGGACACTATATGCATAGCCATAATTTTAGTTTACAGCCTATTTTCAGGTAGTGTAAATAGGTAGGTCTTCCAATTATAAAAATATCCATTAAAGATTATTCTATTACCAATTTTATTAAGGATTTATTTAAAAAAAATAAGGAAATAGAGGCAACCTAAGTCTACAAAACTAGTATTTTTAGACAGAACTTTCAAAGATCTGAAGATGAAATGCTCATTTTTTTCATGATTCTCAGAGTGACAAGCCCATCTTTTATTCCTTCTACATATTTTATCCTTTTTATCTGAGGTAAAAATAAATCCATAACCAGATAGTGTATCAAGCTATTATTCTTTTACATAATGTCAGATCTCCCACATACTGTATGCTTAACTCCTGTACAAATCAGAATTTGCAATGACAAAACAAGCAGGGCACTGATTTTGGTTCAACAAATGCTATAAAAACTTACCTCATAGTGAGTTAATATCATTTGGTTTAGTAGAGTTGACACTGAATAAAAGGCTCCAGTCATAATTCCTGCAATGAAATAAAAAGTATTGCCATCGTTACAGAAATTAAACGAAGCCAAACTCATAAAACACAAAACAAGTTACTCTTCAGAAGACTAAATTACCTGAAAAGGAACTGAAACCTGGGACCCCAGAATATCTTTTTGCCCTGTATGGCCTCATCTCCTCCTTGCCATCAAGACAGACATAAACAGAAGCACTACATAGCACATTGAAAGGGAGATACCCAAACAGTCAGTTAACTATGGGGAGGGCTGAACAAGTAGAAGTGAAATCTAATTCCATTCATCATTTTTACCATAGGCAAAATCGGAGGGGGCAGGGAAGAATCACTGAAAAAAGTAGGCTTCAAATGGTCTTATGGCTACATGATATTAGACTCAAGAGTCTAATGCCCCAAGACTTTTGTCACCTCCAGTTTCACATTATTCACCCGCTCCTCAGTAAATCTTTGGCTGGGACTCTATGAATCATGGGGTCAAAAGAGAAAGGCATGGAATAGACTGTTGATCTTGTCAGGTCTGCCACAATATTCCAAATTATACAGAATAGTGACAGCTCCCCATTCTCATATGAGAGAATTGTATAAACACAGCTACATCACTGCACATTCTTACAGCTCACGTGCTCCTTCATCAGCAATAGCCGAAAGGTATCAGGACAAACCTCAGAATTTACATTTCGTTCTAAGCTGCAAATACTACTGCTGTCACTATGAATGGTATAAAACCTGTTGAAGTTTCTTGAAAAATGCTACAAATAGAGGAAGCAATTTTGCTACATTTGTCTTTTAGTGCCACAAATATTTAAATAATTATAGTCATTGTATTTCAAAATCCATTACCTTATTTTTGAACAATTAAACATTATATACCACAGAAAAAAAAGTTCAACAATATTAATACAGGTTCAGAATTGAATGTATAGAGTGCACTGTACATGGTTAAATTGAATAATATCTGTATAACAGAATTAACGTGAAATTTTAATCTTCATGTTTCTAACATGAATATTAATAATTTAAAAATTTATATAAGAATTTATAATAGCAATTACATAACTCAATAGGGAGATGGGTGGCATATCAATTTAATAAATATCTCTTAGCAAATGAATCACTAAAGTACAAGAAGAAAGCCAGGTTATAAAAACAACACAATGTTTGGTACAAACATCTTTAAATAAGTTAAATGCTTACCATAGCTTATCAGCAAAAGAATAAAAGGAACGTTCCTGAACAAATTGAGTATTGATTGTTTATAGGAGTGATCTTTTGGAGATGGATCCAGGAGAACAGCCTGAGACTGACTTGGAGGATATTTGGGTTTTTCCTTGAACACTAGGGAGAAAACAAAAACATATTAAGTATGTGACATTTTCTCATGATGGAACCGTTTTACATGCACCTTCATATGTAATAAATTACCAATATAATAAAGGAAGAATGTTCATATGTTTCCACAGATACTGGGATAACGTGGAACTTCAGTCACTATAAAACCTGAAAGTCAATGTGTTAAAGGTACAGGTAGGCCTTGACTTACAAGTTTGTTAAATGACCGTTCAATGGCACTGAAGTGACTTATGACAGTTTTTCACACTTATGACTACTGCAGCACCTGTCGGGCTCCGGATGCTTTCCAACCTGCTCTGGAGCCCGACACATCAGCAGGGCACACAAGGGGGTGACATCAGCAGCCACAGCATGCTATGCATGCCTTCTGTTTTGTTCCAGAGCCATTAGCAAGCTATGGCTGCCCAAGAGCTCGGGAAGAGGGAAGACCTGGCGGTCCTGACTTTTCACTGTGAGAGAACTGCTGTGGAGCGGCTGGGAGGCTGCAATAACCTGTACTGCATGGGGCTGAATTTGTGTGACTGTGGCTGTTTGCAACGTTTAGGAACGGCGCAGGGAGCACAGGGGTGGGATAGACTGCGGAATAGGTATGGGGAATTGGATAGCATAGAAGCACAGTGGTGGATGATTAAGGGGTAGGATAAGGAAAAGCAGGATGGCAAGCAGATATTAGGAGGGCATGGTATTAGGAGGGGGCAGATGTTGGTTAACCCGGGGTTGTTTACAAAGGAAGTATTTAAAGCACTGAGAGGCGTTAGCTCTAAACGCTGGCTTTTCACGGGTTTCCCATTCTTGCTGCTGTTAATCCTGACTGCTCAAATTAAAGCTGAAACGTGACTACATCAAAGAGTACTGTCTGCTTTGTGACTAACTGCTCGGGAGTTCAGAGGCAGCTGAGACACCTCAAGGTCATGTGATCAAAATTCAGCTGCCTGACAACTGAGCCATATTTATGACGATTGCAGTGTCCTGGGGTCATGTGATCACTTGAGATCTTCTGACAAGCAAAGTGAAAGATTTGCTTAATAACCGTGTTACTAACTTAAGAACTGAAGCAATTCATTTAACAACTATGGAAACCAAGCAGTCATAAAATGGGGCAAAACTTGCTTAACTGTCTTGCTTAGCAACTGAAATTTTGGGCTCAATTTGGTCGTAAGTCAAGGACTACCTGTAGGTATCACAGAACAAATTCCACTTTTTCATATGTAATGAGCAAAGGATCTTTGTCCAAAAAGCTTCCCTTCCCAACTGAGGTTCCTAAAATTCTCTGATGCATAGCCATCATCTTCATCTTGAGAATTATAAGAATGGCAACGAAGAGTGCTGAACCACTCCCGTCCTTGAAAGTAAAACTTGCCCTTTTAAAACAAACAAGATTTTTAACAGTGTCAGAAGCTGCAGCATCCAACCTTTTATGAGGAAGCTTGCTTACTAGAATTTAAGTCATTTATTTTCCCAATTTTGATTGTCAGTTGCTCACGTAACCATGCATTCTAATGAGCAGTTGAAACCTGAGAATATAATGTGTCACTTCATTCTCTTGAATTTGCCAAAGGAATTGTACCATAGTTGTGTTATTCTATACTTCTACTGATAGAACTACAGTGACCAGCAACAGCATTAATGCCATATTATGTTTCCAAAGCTAGTACCAGGTTTTTTTTCTTCATTACTATCAGATACAATCTTTTTTTTTTTTTTGCTTGAGGTTTCCTCATTCATCAAGTGTTCCAAGTTCTTATATTCATAGGATCTCAGATTTTGCAATCCCTCCTTGGTTACTGTAGTATTTTCCATTGTTTATCTTAACTCCATAATTCTTCTGGTCATATTTTAGTACAATTTTGGTAATTCTTTTACTTTTCCTTCAATTTGCTTCTTAGTCCTCTTAACTTAAACATCCCATTATAATTTTCCTTACTATCTTCTCATAGATGTTACAATTTGTAATTACAGCTAATTCTAGGAAAAACAACGCAAAATGTTATTTATAATACATTGACATAATTCTTTTATTGTTGTTGTTGTTGTTGTTAATCTTCATTTCAATTCACAGTCTGGGACTAGTAAAAACTTAACAGTTCAAATCCTAACCAAGGACCTAAGAGCTGTTAAGGTAGCATTTGAGTATATAGACCAGGGGTGTCAAACTTGCATTGTCACGTCACATGATGTATGGAGACTTTTTTCCCCTTCATTAAAACGGGGGTGGGCATGGTCAGCATGTGACACATCTGGCCTGCGGGCCACAAGTTTGACACCCCTGATATAAGCAGTTAAGAGTAGAGTGGTTTTTTGCAAAGTCAGGATATTCAGGTCTAATAAGTTCAAAATTTCCATGTATCTAGGCAGCTTTGGGTATTACTATTGGTACAACCATTGATTTCTTCCTCCATAATCACTCAACTTCAGTTTATAAACTATTTATTATTGTTGTTGTTGTTATTGTTAGACTGAAATGTTTTACATACCAACCGCTGTTAATAAAAACAGGAAAGTAGATACTCCTGCTGTGCCATAGAACATTATGCTGATATTATGTCCGATAAGATTCAGGTCATCATATGTGTTTGGAACTAAAACTGGAGGCAATAAAAAGCCAATTGCTGTGCCTAGCTATTAAATAAAAAGAAAATTGTGTTAGAATAAATCTGAAAGCGTAAGAAATCTATTAGATTAGGATAGGGTCAATCTAGCCAACATGGTATCATACAACAGTCCAAAATACATTCAAATGCATAATCATAAACAGTAAGACAATAGCCTTGATTTACTGTTTCTTCCCAAGAGCTTCTATTTAAGCTCTCACATCTAACTCTCTGGGATTAGTATGCAACCAAGAATTACAAATATGAACAGATCAACTCCCCTCACAACCTGTCTAATTCTCCTTTAAAATAACCTAAATTTGCGACCATCACCATATCTAATTATGCATTATCAGGTGACATACTTTCTTTAGCATTTCTGTTTTATAAGGAATGACTCAAAGTTCTGATACTGAGAGGAAGAAAACTTTATTGCCCACATTTTCCATCATAAATATGTTTTACACCTCTTTACAAACCCTTTTCTCTGCTTTTAAGAAAAAAGCTTTAAATGCTGTAGTATTGTCTAACATAAAAATTGATATAATCCCCTAATCATTTGAGGTACTCCTTTTCCAGTTTTATACTTTTTACAGACACAGCAGTCACATTATAAAATAATTACATACTACAATGGCAATTATATACTTCCGTTTCCTTCCTATTCATTTCTAGAACATAATATTACACCAGCACCCCACTGAACTATCCCAGAAACTGATTTGCACATTTCAACATGAAATTGCGTATTCTCCCTTCTCCCTTATGTTTTAACCAATAACCAATTCTTGAAAAGTTGAATACTTTTAATACTCCTATGGCCATTATAGTTATTCAGGAGTGTTTGGTAAAGGATTGTATGAATGGTTTTTTTGAAATCCAAACATATATTCTGTGTTGGATTTCTCTCAACATACTTGGTGATACCCTTAAACAGTAACTAATAACATAAACCTGAAAGTTTGTATCACAAAAAATGGAAAAACATTGCTTTTTCATCAGGAAGTCAACAGCTAGTAACAGTTCTAATTTATTATATTTAAATGACATGATTTTTCTGGATAAAGGTGCAGAACTATATTTAGAATGCAAGAATGTTACAATAACATTTTATATTCATTTGTTTTCCTGATTTTCTGAATATTAAAATATCAAAACTCTTGCAGAAAATATTTTGTTTGAAATATGCTCATATTTCTAGATTATTAGTTCTGCAATTATTAGAGGGTTATAACTGAAACATGAAAACTTACATGATGCCCTACTGACATCACAGCATCAGACAGAAAATACAAATCCAATTAGCAAGGATTTGGATTAAATATATGAAGGCTATTCAGTTGTAAATGTCCTTGCTTATTCAAGTTAATTGCTTCAATCACCAATGCCAACAAGGTTATGCATGATCAGTGCTCATCTAACTATTAAGAATGGAAATGAGATTTTTTTCTTAAATCGAAATGTACTTATTTTTTCTCACCAAAGTTATCCATCAACATCCCTACCTCATGCATCTCTTGCCAAACTTTCTCCTCTTTATCCACTCACCTGATTGCCCAAAACAGCTACAGCACAAGCAGTGGACACTTCCTTGGGTCCAAACCAAACAGAAGCAATGCGGGAGGGCAAGCCCAAAATGAAGACCTGGGCTACAGAACACACAATCTGAGCCAGCAGAGTGACCAGATAGAGATTTGGCTGGACGCTGGCACATTTAATCCAGGCCCCCAGGCAATTTAGTCCAGATCCCAGCAAGGCCGTGAGACGGAGGCCACGGATGTCCAGCAACCAAGTGGCCGGAAATATGAGAGGCACGTATGCCACCATATACGATATGGAGAGCCAGTCAATTTCAGAAGAAGTCACATTATAGTAGCGAGTGAAGACGCTGGTCAATATACTGTACTGGATCCACTGGAAGGCATTTACTAGCGAATAGCAGCTGAACACGGCCAACACCACCAGCCTCCGTTTGGAAAGGCGAGGGGTCAGCTTCACCCCCACGGTACAGTCAGACAGCATCGCCTCCGCTTCTGGATACTTCTCGAGATCAGCAAAGGAAATGGCGTTTCTTCCAACCGCCACATCCTTCTCGGTCACCAAAGGCATGCAGCTGCCGCCGTTGTCCAGCTTTTTGCCGGCCAGGTATCCATTGGACTGGAGGGCTGGCACCGTGGCTTCCTCCCCAACCTCGCCGCTAGCCTCGCTGCTTTCCCCGGGCTCGGCCATCTCCGTTCCCTCCCCGCCCATTCTGGTTCCCCCGACCTGAGGCCTTCGCCCCGCCCGAACCTACCTGCCGGCGGACCCCTGCTAGGAACCTCCCTTCACTACCGCAAACAGAACCGCTACACGCGCCGCCCCCTTTCCCTTCCGCCTCCCCACGCAGGTGTGCCCGCGGCTACTTCCAGCCTGCCTTCTCAGGTGCTGGCCAAGCGCTTCCCGTCCCGGCCTTCGCTTTGGGGATGCTTCGCTTGCCCTCCCCGGCGCGCCTTGCATTTAGCCCTCCCTTCTCATCTCTGCCTCCCCAACTCTAAGATTGGCTGAGCTGCGGCCTCGCTTCCCGCACCCGCTAACGGTCATCCCAGAGAATCCAGGCAGAGATTGAAGGAAGAGAGCATCTCAGCTCTGGCGCCTCGGAGCCACCAAAGACGCGATACCGGCTTCCGCATGCGCACTTAGTCTCCTCTTCGATCGGGAGACGTTCCAAAGGAGAGATTCTAAGCCAATGAGGGGGCAGAGAGGTATTTGCGCTATCGCGGCTCCGCCAATCCTGGAGAAACGAGGCCGGGCTGGGTCCTGCGCCAAAAGGGCTCCCACGTTGCCCGGCCTCGATTGGGGAACCGGGTGTTGTAGTGCGTCTCTTTCGCCGAGACTTCCCCTCCGGCCACGTGGAAAGGATTGGCGTGGCAGCTGGTCCACCTTTCACAGATTGCTGCATCATGCGTCTAATCCCTCAGACACAACCAGTGAGGTATCGGGGGGAGGGGAGCGCCAGGACTAGCTGTATGGGCGCTCATTCGTAGCATCTTTCCCAGGTTTCGACGGCGGGTTGATTTTTTTATTTTTAAAAAAAGGTTCCTAAACGTTTGAGAGACACGTATGTCACCATATACGATATGGAGAGCCAGTCAATTTCAGAAGTCACATTATAGTATATGTTTCTGGAAAATTAAGAAGAGGGTAGTTGGGTTGTAGGAAAAGACTGATGGAGAAACACACCCGGTTTTCTCTTAGACCTCGGCTTCTCTTGCCTTATGGAAAAGCAGCTGTTTCTTACCGCTACCTTCCCCGATTTGTCGTAGAAAAATTCTTGGACTACAGTGTCTTGCAATCTAAACCAGCTCAAGGTATTACAGACACTGGGAGGGAATATCCAATTTGTGGAGTTAGCACGCTACAAAAGAGCATCTGAAAAATATTAAGATGGCTGGGCTGAAAATGCTTCAGGTTAAGAATCATTTTTAGGGGCCGATAAACAGTTTTGTAGTCTTCGGTAGAGATAATGCGCTAGGAAGGAATTGACGGTGAATGGGCTCTTGCTCCTCTGGGCTTGGTTGCTTTCTGCAGATGTTTCATTACCTGGCTAGGTAACATCATTGCTAAGGAGTGGAGTTCACTGACTGAGCTCAGAGAACACCAAGGACTCCACAGTCTCTTCTGTCAGTGTTTATATGTAGCCCAGGGATGGGATGCTGCCGGTTCTGCCTGGCTCTATAGAACCGGCAGCTCTGAAGAGCAGCAGACACCGAACCTAATTCTGTGTTTGCTGCTGTTTGGCCAACCCACCCATCCGGCCTCTTACCTGTCTTTTATTTCCTGCTTTTTCAACCTCAGCTGCTTCATGTGGCACAGCTGAGGTTGAAAAAGCAGGGAAAAAGTGGCTTTTCAAATGCTATGCACCCACCTGCAGCTACTTTCAGCTGTCTGGGTGGCACAGCTTAAGTGTTTTTACATGTGCATGCGCGCACAAAATGCAGTCACCGAACCGGTAGTAACACTGGTTAAATCCCACCCCTGATGTAGCCCCTTGCCCTGCCAGTCTTAAATAATATAATTTTATTTCCTTTCTGATTATTATCTGGTGCTGTTTCCTGCTTTTTTATAGTAGGCTCTTGAAGGACATTGGGTTCAGGCTTGCATATTTTTTAAAAAATTAAAAGAACTCAATTAAATTTCAAAATAGCTTTTTATCCTGATGACCTGATATGCAAACTACTATCACTTCTGGGCAAATTCTCCAAAACTACAATTTTTGCAGTCCTCAGGATTTTGTTCCAGAGTACAAAATCAGGGGAAATCAGCAATTTCAGGATGTTTGATGGGTTTTTTTACTTGTTTTTTTCTTCTTTAAAAAACTTTAAACAGTTCTGTATGATTTTTTTAATAGTACAGAACTGAGATTCTGTGAATTTCTACAGTATTGGAAGATAGGTATTTTTGCTGTGACTCGCACATATTGGCTATCAATTAACCCAATGCAAATTTCTTATCTATTGGAAGAGACCACCACTAATGTATGGAAACATTTTTACTGGATGTTAAAGAATTGCAACTATGGTACTTAAGGCATTTTTGCACTGTCACATTAAAGTACTAACCATCTTGAAATGGTAGAAAACTATAAAAGTTCTAGTCTGATTTGCTGATCCCAAAGCTATAGTGAACTCCATTTTGTTTTCTTACCAGCTGCTGTGTATGTTCTGCATACAACAAAGTCAAACTTTACTGGTTAAATTCCTTGGCTATATTGGCTTAAATATCACCACAGGAACAATATTCACTACTAAGAACAGAGATGCAATGATGTGCAAGTTTTGACTGATGCTGACTCATCTCTCCTGTGTTTACCCTGTTGGTCAAAATAAGACTTGTACAAAGATGGAGCAGAAGTGATAAAAATAAAGCAGGAGAGTTGCCTATCCCAAAACTCAGCAGTTCCCCTTCCCTGTTGTTGGGAGTATTGTGGGACCTGCAAGATAAGAGAGAAAGCTTTGCTGGTAGCTCCCCCAGCCTAACCAAAAGCTGTTTGGTTGACTGTAGGGACGTAAGGGCTATAGCCACCTCTGGCTGTTGTGTTAGTTCACAGTATCTGGAGCAAAGCAACTATGGTGATAGAGAACTGGGCTTAGGACTTGTGAAACAACCAATAGGATTGATCCCCTTTCCTGCAGCTCAGTTGAGAGTGATCTGCTATGAGTTTCTGCCAGTTTTGCTTTGTTTTGGGTGGGGACACTTATTTAAAACCAGAACAACTGGAAAGATTTTTTTCAGCCATGAGCTAAGAATGAGTTAAAGGCAATATCATGGGACCTGGTTCAACAAAGAGATTGCCAAGACATATTCATTTCTTGGCTAGTTGCAAATGATCTCCCTGATTTTTTAAAATTTCATTTGTCTGCTGAAGTTTCTTGTCTTTATGCCTTGTGATAACATAGGTCCTTTGCTTTATTGTGCAACATATAATTCAACTTACCAACAATTGATTAAAATAGATGTCTGTGTACTGGTTTTGCCACAATTTGAATTGCTGGTTGCCAAGCATTTCTGGAACCTTCTAAGATTCTTAGTTAAGAGTGACCGTTTCTCAACAGCTATTAAAACTTGGGAACTTAATTTCAGCGGGAAAAATGCAGTTCTGCGAAGCATAGGTACGTGTCAGTGAGCATGTGGATTAGAAAGATCAAGGAATCATTGTTTATTTGGATTTCAAAAGGCTAATGAAGCCTCTCATCAAAGATTTCTATGCAAACTTCCTCTTTTGTTAAACAAAAATCTGAAAGTTAAAAAAAAGTTATTTCACTATACAAGTAGTGGAAGCCAACTCAGCCAATGTATAATAATTAGTGGCTTGAACTCCAGTAATCCAGACTAATAAAAAGTTCTTCAGCAGTTTTAACACTTTAAATAATGCAAATAAATGGTTAAACTATTAAATGCAGTGCTGCCAAGTATATAATGGACATTATAGCTTTAAAAAGACAGATTCATATCATGAAGGATAGGCCTATTAATGGCTATTTGTCTTGGTGCTAGTATGAGTTGCTAGGGGAAACACCAGTAATTATAGTGCTTCTGACAATTGAAGTTATCAGTAGTTTTAATAGCTGTGATGGTGTTTCCCATAAAACCATAAGCAACAATGGTATATGATAATGATCTTGAGAGACCAGGAGGAAGAGCCCCCAACAATGATTCGTTAACAAAACTTGAGTCCGAAGGAGGAGGGGTGATGAAAACGTTCCTAGTTTTCTGGAGAATGAAAGGGAAGAGGTACTTTGACATTTGCAAAATTGATGTTAGCCTTGCTAGGTATCCAAACTAAGCACAACCAGGTGTACTAGTTACACCTTTATTGTGAAGTTAAAAGAATCTGGCGAATCTGAAAATACTTCCATCCCTAATGGAGTCTTAGTGACATCTAGCATGTCTGGGCAGAAGCCATGTGTTTCAAAGTTTTTTGTGCTTTTGAAAAATAATAGCCTACAGTATAGTTCTAAAGATGGCAACCTCAGATGCCAAAGAGGAGCTTAAAAATTCTACAAATCTTTTAAAACTATTAAACTAAAATGGTGTGTCACAACTTCTGAGGTTGAAGATGAGGGGTTTGCACCCATTGTATTAGAAATGCCTCTCTGAACTTTATATTATACTCAATTACATTTTAAGTTAATGTTCTATCATTCCCCTATAATCTTTCAGTATGTTGGCATAAGAAAGAATATTAAACAGCTTTTATTATAATTTGGTTATGTGGGAAGTTACAGTGGCGTGAATTACCTTTTTGTAAGAGGGGAAAATCATGTTTATTACTTGACCAGGAAAAAGGTCAAGATCTGCATTTTCAAGCAAGAGTCTTATAATCTTCATAATCTCATGTGTCAATATCTCTAGAAAAAAAACAGTGGTCTATATAATATATACTCCAGATCAGTTTACTCTATTTTTTCAATAATTTTCAAAGAAAAAGTTAATTACATTGTTAATAGGCATTTGTGTAAATATGACAAGACAGGAAAGAGGTAGTTTACATCTTTCAGAATATTTTCTAGACAGGATACTTGCCCCCTAAATTACTAACATTCTCTAAAAAGAAACTTTTAGAACATTACAGGATTTATCACTCTCAGGTGATAACCCTAAACTCTGGAGAGATTTTACAAGTAGCTAGAAATACCAACTGGAACATGAACTTTTTGGCTAATATTCTTCAGAGCTACCATTGTACTTACTATTCCTAGCATTGTAAATCTGTCTAATGAACAGGGTATGTAAATAAGAATCTACTATGTAGGAAAAACTGAACACAAAAGGAAGGAAAAAAAATCTTAACATGGGAAATCACATCAGACTATCCAGAAGGAAGGAGAGATTTGAAGGGCCATCAGGATACTCACATGAAGGAAATAGAATCACAGAACGGGGCAAGGGATGAAAGAGTGATATATGGATTTTAAAACTATGCAAATGAACTATATGATTCATTCTACCTTAAAGAATTCCAAAGAGCCCTTACTGACTACATGTACATGGAATTGGAAAAAGTGCTCAAAAATAAATAGGGCAGAGGAAATGCAGACCAATTCTGATCAAATGAATTGGCTGGCCAGAGAATTTCAAAAGCTGAATTAAGAGGACTACTGCAGCATCTTTGATGGAATGGGGGTTTACATTGCCCTATCCAGCAATATTTTTGTGGCAGCCTTCTCCAGAGCCAAACTTCTACTATTTAGTTGGATCTTCTAGATCTTGAGAATTAGAACTACTGTCTCCTAATCTTGTTTCTATTTATGTCTAATTTGTTTTTAATGGTCTTTGAAGAAAGTTTTGGGGTTCATTTGTTTTTTGTACACCATGCAAAATCACATTCCTGAGATAGATGGCATATATATTTGATAAATCAGTACCTATCCAGCTGGAACACTTGAATGTCTTCCCTGCAAGAAAGACTTTGGGACATCTTCACTTAGAAAACAGCCACTGAGGCGGAAAGTTATTGAGAGGAATAAAGCCACACATAAAATGAACAGAGAATTTTATTCCTCTCTCACAAAATGGTGGTAGGTCATCCAATGAAGCTGACTAGGGAGAGATTCAAAACAGTCTTTAAAAGAGTGCTTTTTCCCCAAAATGAATTGAGGAAATAATTAGCACCCTGGTAGTCTGTTACATTGGATGGCTTTAACAGCAAATTGATTAATTTCTGTACGTGGAGAACAGATCTAACAAAGGCTGTTGGGTTAGAAAAATCCAAGACCAGTTGCAGGTGATAGTGGTGGGAGATGATTATATCTCTTACCACTTCAGAGGCATCTGAAGGTTTATTATTATGAAAAATAGTGCAGGACTAATATCAACTTTGGCCTCATCCAGCAGGGCCATTGTTGTACAGATGAAACTCGAAAAATTAGAATATCGTGCAAAAGTTAATTTATTTCAGTAATGCAACCTAAAAGGTGAACCTAATATATGAGATAGACTCATTACATGCAAAGCAAGATAGTTTAAGCTGTGATGTGTCATAATTAAGATGATTATGGCTTACAGCTCATGAAAACCCCAAATCCACAATCTCAGAAGATTAGAATATTGTGAAAAGGTTCGATATTCTAGGCTCAAAGTGTCCCACTCTAATCAGCTAATTAAGCCATAACACTTGCAAACAGTTCCTGAGCCTTAAATGGTCTCTCAGTCTGATTCAGTAGGAAGCACAATCATGGGAAAGACTGCTGACCTGACAGTTGTTCAGAAAACCATCATTGACACCCTCCATGAGGAGGGAAAGCCTCAAAAGGTAATTGCAAAAGAAGTTGGATGTTCCCAAAGTGCTGTATCAAAGCACATTAATAGAAAGTTATGTGGAATAGAAAAGTATGGAAGAAAAAGGTGCACAAGCAGCAGGGATGACCGCAGCCTAGACAGGATTGTCAGGAAAAGGCCATTCAAAAGTGTTGGGGACTTTCACAA